AAGTCTTTTTAGATGAGAAGACACTGCAGAACAGACAAATTTATATTTATACTTCTTTCCCCTGCCCAACAACTTTTAGTACTGAGATATGTAAAGTCATTGGCCCCTTTGGAATTAAAAGCGACTTATCTCTCACTTGAGTGTTGATTCCAACAGCAATGGTGGAGTCATGCACAGGCCTGAAGGAGTGGGGTACAGAACCCAGGGTGGCAGCTGCCCCCACCATCCTCCCCTCATTAGCACAGTCCTCAGAGGGGGTGTAACTCAGAGCCAAGACCAGAGTTGGCAGGTACAAGAAAGGACTTTATTAGTGGGGCGGGCAGAGAGGGGCACAACGAATCACAACTGCCACTACGGAATCACACACTATGAATTCCAACCTGGGGAAGGATAGCGAATAATTTAATCCAGACTCATATCCTCCTCCTCGTCTTTCTTGTCTTTCGTGTCACCCTCCTTCGGCTCCGATTTGGCGTTATTCTGCATGGCTTTGGCAAACGCTTCCACATCTGAAACGGCCACAGCAGGGCTACTACCCAAGCAGACGGCCCCCGCGCTACACACCCGAGACCGGGGGTCTGCACTTACCTCCTTTGTTGGCCGCCTCCACAGCCTCTGCAGGAAGGCCAAACTGGCACATGAGGGGGCCGAGCTGTCCTGAGGCCAAGGCTGCACTGAACATACCCAGGGCCTGCAATACAGAGTACGCATGCAGAACTGGGCGCCTAAGGCACCAGGCCCGCCATGTAAGAGTTATGTGTACAGAGAGTGCCACGGGCATACATACCTGCTGGAACTGGGGCGAGGTCAATGTGTTCTGGATCTCATCTGCAGTCTGAGGCAGAGACTCCCCAGAGGGCAGGTAGGGCAGCAGGCGCTCCTGAACGTCTGCGTTAGCGAGGATGGGAGCCATGATCTCTGGAGTCAACACACTGGCCAGATCCACTAGGACACAAGCAACGTGGCCATCAGTGGCCTGATGCCAGCCCGGCACCCCACCCCACGAGCACCTGCAGCTCCTACCTTGCTGGCCGCCTCCTGGCCCTGCGGGCACATTCATGGTGGCCAGAATGCTCTGGAGGTCGCTCAGCTGGATGGGCTGGGTCGGGCTGGCTGCTGTGCTGGTTCCATTACCTGAGCTGGGTGCGGGGCTTGGGCTGGTCGCCGAGGCAGCTGCTGGGGCAGAAGGGGCTGGGGTGGCGCGAGCGGAAGAGGTGGTGGAGGATGGGGTGACGGCTGCCGACTGGCTCCGGGAGCTGGGGAAAGCGAGCAAGGGCTGGAACAGCTAGGCCCACTATGTTTCGGGGCTACTCCACAGGTCTGAAGGACCACTTCCCCAGTAACAAGCTCTGGTGTAATGGGGACCCCCAACCCTACCTCCTAAAGTGATGTCTCCAGAAAAGAAAATGCAATGGCTGGTGGTGGTGCCAGTACCCATGTCAGGTACTGGGGGCTTGGGGCTCACCTGGACGAAGAGCTGCTTGCCGGAGGCCCGCTGCTCCCCAGCAAGCTGGCCAGGCCTGGTCCAGTGAGGGCTCCAAGCCCACCTAAAGAAGCAAAGAATGTCTGCTAAACACCGCCAGCCAACCCAAGAAGCCACACATCCCAATACCAAAGCCAAAGGATGAGCAGGGAGGGTTGTTATTAATAAGGAAGACACAGGAGGCTAAAGTGACCACCCTAGTCTAAATCCTAAGTTATCCTACTGAGCCAGGTTACTTCCACTCCAGACACCTGCTGCACCTTAAAGTGATCATCCTTGGCTCTGCCCCAGAGAACTATACACATGGGTATTAGACAAGGTCCCTCTCTGCCCACCCAGCTCGTATCCAGCAGATAAGCACTTTCCAAAATAGGAACACAAGGACAGACAGATGCAGGAAACCCTGTGTCTGCTGCAAGCAAGGAGCTTATGAAAGAGCCAGGGACAGTGGCTAACGTTACCCAGTCCTCCAAGGCCGGCTGGTCCGATGAGCTGCATGAGCTGGCTATGACTCATGTTCCCCAACAGGCTCTGCAGGCCACCTTCACCTGGAGAACACAAGAATCAGACATGGGCCTGCAGTGGCCATGGCCGGGATGCCTGGCCTCGGCCCCACCCCAGAGCTGCTCAGGGATTGCCTCTAAAAAAGGCAGCAGGGACCAGGTGAATTCTGCCCAGTAAAGAGGGAGTAGAGAGAGAACCAGAACTTAATTAAGCAGGGCAGTTCCCAGTTCATTGACAAACGCTGCCCCACACAGGCCCGGGTGATAATTACCGCCCAGTGCCGAGAGCTCGTGGCCACCACTCCCACTTGCACCCAGTGCTCCAGGCATGGGGGGGTTGTTCAGACACTCATTGACTTTCCGACAATGCTCTTCATCTTGGTCAGTCTTGGGCTCCTGCCAGAGAGGATAAGCAAAGGGCCCAAGCTGAGCAGCCTGCACACGGAGCTGGCTTACGCCTGTTGGCTTCCCAGCACCCACATGGCCAGCCATCCTGATCCAGCCCACACAGTTACCTGCAATGTCACAGTACCGGAGACAGAAGAACCCAGCCTAGAGACAGTAAGGGCAGCAAGTACGGCCCCAAAGCCAATCAACAACCAAGAGAAGCCTGGAGTGCCTTCAGGGTATGGCTTCTTCCTGAGCTTCAGACATTAACACACCAGCCCCATCAACACTGCCTGAGGGACAGCTGGCTCCAAAACTCTGGGATAGAGTACTGTGTGGCCCCTGCACTTGTGGCAAAGGGGGAGCGGCATACAAGGGTGAAACAGGAAAAGTTAACTTTGATGGGGTCCTTAACAAGGCTCAGAACCGTGGCGAGATGCTCCACAGTGAGCACAGCCCTGGACACAGCCCCA